GGGAAAGAGGCCGATGAGAGCCCAGAGCACACATCTGCATTAAAGATCAAAACCTTATTTTTAAACGTAATGACTAATGACTTGCACTCGATCCTCTCTCGCCTCAGCAGGACTCCTCTCCAGACCACATACACTTATTTTTAAATCTCTTAGGAAAGAAGAAGTAGAAAATAATAGGATTAGATTCGTTTAACAGAAAGGAAGATTATGTCCTGAAGAAACACAAGATTTTTCCCCCCATGTACTTACTAGCCTGACCAAAAGCTCAGACCACTGTCAGAATTCATGAGGTTACCTTAGACAGTGGGTAATTGATGTATTCTGCTCCACATCAACAGAAAGGTCAAGAAAGTCTTCATCTTTGCTACTAACCTGGAGCAAAAAAAGAAAAAAAGTATTAGGCACAAAATACATAATAGACAAGTAGATAAAACTTTGAACACCTACAGGTAACCAAAAACCATAACTGCAGTAAAAGTCAGGTATGGCTTTGTATACTCTCTAGCTACCAGTTACCTTGAAAACAATCCAGAACAAAAGAAAATTCTAAATTCTCCATTTAACCTCATCTGTGTCCAGCTTTGATTCAGGCTTTTCATAATTAAAACTCAACCAGATTTCTCTTCCTGTCCATTCATTGCCCCCACTGTTTCAAAGCAGGAAATATCAAACGGGTATCCATATAGCTCAGCCTGGCAGAATGATAACAATGGAAATGGAAAAAGGACAAGAGCCTTAAAAAACTTACTGCTCAGGGCTTCCCTGGTGGCGCAGTGGTTGAGAGTCCGCCTGCCGGTGCAGGGGACATGGGTTCGCGCCCCGGTCCGGGCAGATCCCACATGCCGCGGAGCGGCTGGGCCCGTGAGACACGGCCGCTGAGTCTGCGCGTCTGGAGCCTGTGCTCCGCAGCGAGAGAGGCCACAACAGTGAGAGGCCCGCGTACCGCAAAACAAAACAAAACAAAACAAAACCTACTGCTCAGATGATCACCCTCCATTCAGCTGTCTGCACTTCTTGCCAGTCCCCAGAAATCACTCCCTTCCTCCTTTGCCTAGTCATTCAAACTGTGTGGGGGGCCTGGAGGCTGAATGTGCTATGGGCTGGAGGCTCTCTCTCTCGCTCTCTCTCTCGCTCTCTCTCTCTCTCTCTCTCTCTCTCTCTCTCTCTCTCACACACACACACACACACACACACACACACACACACACACACACACGGCTGTCCTCTGGCCCAGGAAGTGTTGTCCTTTGTAGAACACGCCCATGCTGTCTGTGGTACCAGCCAGACCTGGAGCTGGCCGGGAGCCTGGGCTCACACGGGCCCAGCAGACTGGACTGCTCTCAGCCACACCCATCACCCGCCCTGGCTGTTTCTTGGCCTGCACAGCTGACACCAACACCAATTCTGGGTCTGTACTTATCAAAGCTCACCGAGTGGTGCCTGCCTTCCAGCAGCTCACCAGCTAGCCTGGCATTTCACTGTCTTGGAGTGGGAGGGACAAACTAGCCCAGCAGGAACTTTGAGGTGCCCAGTCAATTGGCAGCAAAACAAAAATCATACTCCTGTAAGTGAGACAACTATCCTATGACCCAACACTCCAATAGTCAGAGATGTGGACACAATCCTTTATACTTTTATTAGTGTACCCAAGAATGGGTATTGGCAGACTGCCCAACTCCATATCCTGTCTCTGCCACTTATAAAGTGGATGACACTAGGCAAGGTACTTAGCCTCTCTGTACCTCAGCTTCCTCATCTGTAAAGTGGGGGCAGTAAGAGTTATCTATTTCATAAGGTTGTTGTAAGGATGAAATAAGATAATACATGTAAAGTGCTTTAAGAAGTAAGCACTCAACAAATCAAGGATGGAAAAAACATTTAAAATGGCCTAAAATGGTCAAAAAGTTGGGAATGGGTTACTACACTGTGAGTATTATATTAAATGAAACATTAAATGAAACATGAGACTGCTCTCCTGCACTTCCACCGTCACCATGAGAAGGGTAACCCAGGCCAGCCCACTGCTTCCCAGAAAAAGATGAGAGACCCACAGAGGAGAGCTGTTCTCACTATAAGGTGCCCCAGCCAAGCCCAGACAGGAGCACCATCCCCACCGGCCTCAGACACATACGTGAGACAGCTGAAATGCAGGCGTACGGGCTCAGCTGAGGCCAGTTGGATCGGGCGACCCCCCCACCAACCCATGGTTGCATGAACTACAGTAAAAAAATCAGAGTGGATTTAAGTCTCAGAGTTTTAGGGAAGTTTGTAACAAAGCAACAAATTTAACCAATACAACTACAACTAACATGACAGGCCTTCCTCCTTTTACTGAACTTGGCAGATAGTGTGTTTCTTTCAATCTGGAGTTGTGTGGCAACCCTGTGTCGAGCAAGTCTACTGGCAACAGCATTTGCTCACTTCGTGTTTCTGTGTCACATTTTGGTAATTTTCACAATATTTAAAACCTTCTTCATTATTTTTATGCTTTACGGTGCTCTGTAATCAGTGATCTTTGGTGTTACTACTATGACTCACTGAAGGTTTCAATGATGGTTATCATTTTTTAGCATTAAGTATTTTCCAATTAAGGTATGTACATTTTTTAGACATAATACTATTGCACACTTAATAGACTACAATATAGTGTAAAAATAACTTTTATATGTATTGGGAAACCAAAAAATGCGTGTGACTCGCTTCACTGAGATATTCACTTTATTGCAGTTATCTGGAACCAAACCCACAGTATCTCCAAGGTATGTATGTATATTTTATTTTTATTCATTTATTGTCTATTTCCCCCTTACTAAAGTGAAAGTTCAAAAGACTGGCTTCTGTAATGACTAAGATCCTGCCCTTCCAACACTCCTCCAGAAAAGTATAAACTCAAATAACTATAAACTAACAGCAACTGACCGAAGGCAATGGAGGCAGATGGGGAGTCCACATGTGGAGGAAAAGAGCTGCAGATAATGAGTTCATGGTTTCACAGCCTTTAGCGGGATCCATGGGGGAAAATGCGGTCTTTCTGGTCGAGAAGCCAGAAAAACCAATCTGGGAAACCATGTCCACTGAGAAGAAGGGAAGGAATCTCAGAAAGTATCCCCAACTCTGTCTACCCACATCTCTGGCTGACCCCTGAGCCACACACATGCACAGAGTACACTCACAGCAACTTGGCTGGTGACAAAAGGGATGACCCAAGAGTCAAACTGCTGCCTAGGAACCAGTTTGTAGTATGAGTTCAACCAAGATAACTACCTGCTAAAACTAAAGAAACTCAAAACTAATTGAAGAAAAACAGCAGAACCCAGAGTCTCTCAAACTGAACATTCTCAATGTCCTAGATATGACCCAAACTCACAATATGTGAAGAACCAGGAAAATGGAAGATATTCTTAAAATAAAAGGAGGCAACTGAGACCAATCCTGGGATGACCCAGATGTTGGAAGTAACAAACAATGATTTTAAATAAGTTTTTATAAATATCTTCAATAAAGTGAAATATATTCACAGTGAACAAAAAATAAGACATCTCAGCAGAGAAATAGAAACAAACAAAAAAAAGACTCAAATGGAAATTCCAGAACTAAAAAATTAATACACTGGATGGACTTAACAGAGAACTGGAGATGACAGAGGAGACACCAGGGGACTTGAAGACAGAACAATGGAAATGATCCAAGAAGAATAAAGGAAAAAAAAGAAAGATTGAAATAAAAATTAACAGATACTCAATAAACCTGTTAGATATCATACACATAATTGGAGTCCCAGACGGAGAGGAGAGAGAATAAGGCAGAAAAACGATTTGAAAAATAATGGCTGAATATTCCCTAAATTTGGTGAAAAACATACATTTATAAATTGAAGATACTCAACAAACACCAAGCAGGATAAATACAGAGAAGGCCAGCCAAGGTCAAACTGTTGAAAGCCAGAGGTAAAAAAGCAAATCTTAAAAACATCTAGAGAAAAATGACACATTACAGCGAGCTCGCTGGTGCCCTAGTGTTTGGAATTCCAGGCTTTCACTGCTGTGGCCTGGGTTCAATCCCTGGTCGGAGAACTGAGATCCCACAAGCTGCATGGCATGGCTAAAAAATAAATAAATAAACTTTTTTTTTTTTTAAATGGCACATTACAAGAGAATGATTCTGTTAGAAGCTGGTCTCTCATCAAAAATTACAGAGGCCAGAAGACACTGAACATCTTTAGTATGCTAAAAGAAAAAGCTATCAGAACAGAATTCCTGTATCCCATTAATATATCCTTCAAGAGTGAAGATAAAAGTGAACAGAATTCATTATTAATAGACTTGCACTACAAGAAAGGTTACAGGAAATTCTTTAAACCAAAGGGAAAAGCTAGCAGATGGAAATACAGATCCTCAAGAAAAAGTGAAGAGCATCAAAAATGGGAATTATGACATTGTCCTGTGGGGGTTATAATATATGTAAATGTAATACATGTAGCAACTATAGCATAAAGGACAAGGCAGGTCAGGGGTGGAAGGAATATGCACCTACACAGTTATAAGTTAACTATGTTTTATGGGAAATGGAACATTATTAATTGTATGGGGACTGTGAAGAGTGAAGAATATACTGTACTCTCCAGAGCAACCACTAAAAAACAACGTACAAAGATATACTAAGAGGAAAATTAAAATGGAATTGTTAAATGTAATATACACACACACAAATAATCCAAAAAGGGAAAAACATTTAAAAAGCAGAGAAGGAGGAAGAGAGAAACAAAAAGCTCCAGGGGGAATAAATAGAAAACAAATAATAAAATGGGAGCCTCAAACCCAACCATATCAATAATTATATTAAACACTAATGTAATAAACTTTTCAAGTAAAAGTCAGAAATTGAGTTGAATTTTTTAAAAAAGCAAGACCAGCTACATACTGCCCACAAGAGCTATACTTTAAATATAAAGAAACAGATAAGATGAAAAAAAATGGATGGAAAAAAATATACTATATAGAGTTAATATACATATATAGTGGGTTATTTAATATAAGAAAACAGATTTTAGACAAAATTATGAGAAATAAAAATGGTATTTCTTTTTTTTTTTTAACATCTTTATTGAGGTATAATTGCTTTACAATGGTGTGTTAGTTTCTGCTTTATAACAGAGTGAATCAGTTATACATATACATATGTTCCCATATCTCTTCCCTCTTTGTCTCCCTCCCTCCCACCCTCCCTATCCCACCCCTCCAGGCAGCCACAAAGAACCGATCCGGTAAAAAATGGTATTTCTCAATACTTGGGTCAATTTACTAGAAAAACATAATCAAAAATATGGAAGTCCTTCATAACAGAGCCTCAAAAATATATGAAGCTGGAGCAGT